TCTGTGTCTTCCAGACACAGCGGGCACTGATTGCGGTGCTGTGCACTCCCAAGGAGCATGCACAGGCAACATTTAGAAACGTCCACCCGCATCGGCAGTGCTCCTGTCCTGCCGTTTATCGTCAATGGACCAGACGGGAAGAGGTTAACAGAGATGGTTCCAGGATACTATGTCCATCAAGCTCTTAGAAAGGTGTGACGGTCAGGAGTGCCAAACCATTTAGCAATAGGAGTGTAAACTGACCCTACCAGCTTTTTCCGGGAATTTTGCCCTAACCTGTAACAAACAGGGCAGCATGACATGACATTGTACAGATGCGGCATAGGACAATGACATTTTCCAAAGAACCGAAACGCCGCAAACACGTAAACCGAGTTAACAATTAACAATAGGAACGGTGAAATGAAAGTCACGCCATGGATTGGTAATCTTATCACAGCCACCCACTCAACAGACCCGGGAGGAAACAAGTACCAGAGAATGAACGAGGCGACTCTGCAGGAACTACCTTGAGTGCTTGTAAAGTTTACGAGGTCGATTACACAATTTCCGATCCCAGTTCTCTGGATCACTGGAGTTACTGTCATATGGATGAGGACGTCCGGCCATGCCACTCCCAGCTTCCTCACATTACTCCTCAGCAAGCACACATGACCTATAAAAAACAGAAGTATTGATTAAAAGTCAAAATGATAGCAAGTGCACCGTTCGTAATCAGACTGACCCCCCGACATCCCCCGTCCCTCAATAGACGGTCTGTACTGGTGGACACGTTACACTTTGGGAAGCTGCGCAGGAGAACCAATAGACGTTGTTGGATAAAATATCTAAAGGGGGTTGGTAAGCCGAAAAACAGATCTTTTATGCCGGTCATAGACGGGTCAAAAATCGGCCGATTTTCGCACCGTTAGTGGGTTAATTGGTTGGCTGTTTTTCCCACACTTTTTTTTTTAATCAGTCATGTTGGAAAATTTGCGGCCGATTTTCCTGGCAATGATGGGCGAATCGGGAGGAGGAGAAGGAAAAGAAGTCCGCTATTATATTTTATATGAAAAAGTCTTATGGTTGCAACAAATGTATCCAAATAAAGACATTGTAATCCAAATAAAAAAAAAAAAAAAAAAAATGTCAGGATTGGTAAGTGACATCACTGCAGTCCTCCAAGGGCATAGAGATGAGTGGCGGCCATCTTTCCTTCACTCATCTCTATGCCCAGCGCCGGGATCGATGGTTTCTCAGGTAAGGCTGAGAACTACTAAGCAGCGGCCAGTGGCGGCAACGGCGGGAATGGCGGCGAGGGGTGGGGCTTTTTCAGCACCTGTATCGGTGCTTTTTTTCATATCGGTTGAAAGGGGTGAAGGGGAGTTTTTGCTGCATCCCTAGTTTGTACCAATGAATATGCACTTATTGGGATTTTTTTTTTCTGACATGTAGCAGAATACATTTTTGACAAAATTTAAAAAGTGTTTTTATCATTTGATATGTTTTATAGCATAAAGTACAAAAAAAAAAGGTCTAAATTTTATAATATCGTTTATATCGGAGAAAAATAAAAACCCCAGTGGTGATCAAATACCACCAAAGAAAGCTCTATTTGTGTGAAAAAATGATTAAAAAAAAATGGCCTGGTCATGAAGGGGGTAAAACCTTCGGGAGGTCAAGTAGATATATATATATATATATAAAAAAAATTTAAAGACTAAAAAAAAACAAAAAAAATAAAAATAAAATATAAAAAAAAACAAATAAAAAACAAATCTAAAAATAAAAAAAAATATAAAAATAAAATATAAAAATAATATAAAAATAAAATATATAAAAATATAACAAAAACAAATATAACAAAAACAAATAAAAAAAAAAAAAATAAAAAAAAAACAAAAAAAAAAAAAAAAAAAAAAAAAAAAAAAAAAAAAAAAAAAAAAAAAAACACAAAAAAAAAAAAAAAAAAAAAAAAAAAAATATAAAAAAAAAAAAAAAAAAAAAAAAAATAAAAAAATAAACAAAAAAAAAAAATAAAAAAAAAACAAATAAAAAAAAAAAATAAAAAACAAAATAATAAAAACAAAAAAAAAACAAATAAAAAACAAAAAAAAAAAAAAAAAAAAAATATAAAAAAAAATAAAAAAAAAAAAAAAAAATAAAAAAAAATAAAATAAAAAATAAAATATAAAAAAAACAAATATAAAAAAAAAAAAAAAATAAAAAAAAAAACAAATAAAAAAAAAAAAAAAAAAAAAAAAAAAAAAAAAAAAATCGAAGAAGAGGGTAAAGAGTAAATTGGAAAAAAAAGAAAAAAAAAAAAACCTTTAAAATCACCATTGTATTGAGGAGTTAAAAATCGCGGTGCAAGTAACGCTCCCGTCTTGTGAACACCGTCGCCTTAGACTTGCCAGCTGCGTACACACTACAAACACGCTCAGCTGCTTATTTTAAAATGAATTGCCATATGAAGAGAGATCCCGGAGTGGGAAAGGCAAACATACCATTCTTGAAATGCCAGCCGATCCGTTCCCTGCAGAAGTCAGCACAGTGCTGTACCCGGAGCTCGTGTGCCCAGAGTCAGTTTCCTTCTTAGAATACAGAATACTTTACGACACGTTCCTAGAAAAACATGTTTACAAACTGCACTGAAGAGCGATCTTTGCTCTGTGCACACGTGCTGCGGTGAGCTCCTTAAAGAACTATTCTGACAACACATACAGAACATATCGAAGCGGATGACACACCAACAAAAAAAAAGCGAGCTTCGCGGGAGAGGCTTCTCTGACCCAGTCAAAATGCTATTCGGCAGGACTCTAGCCTAGGCTCGCGCTAGTGTTGCTGCACAATCGTGTGAGTTTCGGTGCGCTTTTTGGGGGGGTAGAAGATCGATTGCCAAATAGGCATTTACATGCGTCTTTTATGCGCTCCCATTGAAGTCTATAGGGCAAAGATGCAGTATTGCTGCAGCAAAAAAAGCAAGTGCAGCGGAAAAAAAAAAAAAAAAAAAAAAATATAAAATAATATAATATATATAAAAAAAAAAACAAAAAAAAAAAATACAGTTGCAATGATGCAACCACAAAAAAAAAAACAAATAAATTTAAAAACACTGCAACAGATCAAACAGAAGTGTGAACAAACCTTAAAAAAAAAAAAAAAAAAAAAAAACCCCACAAAAATATGCGGGCTCCTGGCATCTGGGCCCTTTGACGCCGAACGGCCCCCAAAATTTTGCGTGCAAAATAAAAACGTAAAAAGAGCGCGCTCCCAGCATACGTGTCTGGTACTCAAAAAAAAAAAAGGTCCCGATTTCCAAACAATCGGGACCTTTCCCGATCATGTGACCACTGTGACAAAATCACGGCAGTCAAAAAAACCCTAAAAAAAAAACAAACAAAAAAACTGAAACCCTTAAAAAAAAAAAAAAAAATGCACAAAAAAAGGGGTTAAATATGTAAAAAAAAAACAAAATTTTCTAAAAAAAAAACCTATCTGTGCCTGCTGTACTTGTAAAAGTTTCCCCTGTTTCTCTTTGTAAAAACCCCTCCTTTATGTGAAAAATCCCCCCAAATACCCAAAAAAAAACAAAAACACCCAAAAAACAAACCCCCCACCCAACAAACACCCAACAAAAAACACAACAAAACACAACCCCCCTACCAAAAACAACAAAAAACACCCCACCCAAAAAATAAAAAAAAAAAAAAAACAAAAAAAACACAAAAAAAAAAAAAAAAAACAACCAACAGTTTGCTCAGCGCTTTAACAAACATAACGGGAGACAATACAGCAACAATACAGTTCAAAACCAAAAGGGATAGGAGGGCCCTGATCCTGGGAGCTTACAATCTAAGAGGGAGGGGGCTAGTGGTACAAAAGGTAGTAACTGTGGGGGAAAAACTGGTAGGAGGAGTAGAAGATTCAGTTATTAGCTGAGGGCAGGATAGGCCCTTCCCTGAAGAAAACCAGTAGATGAATGTATCCCTGTTTCCTGGATGGAAAAATGAAAGGAATGTTTCCCTTTCCCAGCAGGGGATCTTGCTACTTCCTAGAGACCAAACAACCTAAAAAAGAGGCGGATGGATGGATGGATGGATGGATGGATGGGAGTTATCCCCTCTTCCCACCAGGGGGTCTCTTCACTCCCTTTATATTTTTCTCTCCATATGCATAGGTACCATGTCATTTAAAAAAACAGAACATAGTGCCTGATCATTTGTTTAAAAAAAATTTCAGAAAAAAGAAATGTAGTGCACTCACAAAAAATATGAATTAAAAAAAAAATTACAAAAAAACAAGGATCCTCAAATGTGTTCGCCACACCTCAAAAAAAATACTTGCCTTTAAACAGCATCGTGACGTCAGACTAAAAAGTTTTTTTGACCTCACTGAACGGTTTTGGTCATATAATAATCAGGTATGAGCACAACCCCATGAAGGAGCGCATAATTGAAAGATTGGTGGACTACACGTTACTTATTTTTATTACACCATTTAAAGACACATCTAAGTCACGGATTATTCAAAGAAACACGCATTGCAGCATCAGCATGATTGTAACATCATGCTGCTGAATTAATGTTGGACTCACTCACTTTATTACATTTATTTAACTAGCTGCCGACCGCAGATAGCCGAATGATGGCTGCACTGCGGCCCGGCCAGTTCTGAGTGGACGTCATATGACGTCCCCCCAGAACGCGCTCTCCTTCTCCCTGCGCGCGCCCAGGGGGCGCGCGCACCCCCCGGCGATCTCCCCATGATCGCTGTGTCCTACGGACACAGCTGATCACGTGATGTGGTAAAAGGCCAATCACACAGCGGCCTTTTACCACCTGATCAGCGGTGTCCAATGACACGCTGATCAGAGGGAAATGCAAGTGCCGGTTCTCGGCTGCACTTTCCTCACGCTGTCAGATCGTGAGGAAAGTACTGCCGAAACCGGCAGTTGTCAGAGCGGGGATCGGCACCAGATCATCAGGGCACTGATGATCAGTGCCCTGATGATCGGTGCCCAGCAGTGCCACCCGCAAGTTCCGCCCACCTGTGCCCAGCAGTGCGCCCAAGCTACCGCCCACCTCTTTGCCCAACAGGCTCCGCCCACCTGTGCCCAGCAGATCACCCACCTGTGCCCAGCAGTGCACCCACCTGTGCCACTCTGCAGTGCCACCTACACTGTGCCCAGAAGTGCCACCTACCTGTGCCCAAAAAAATAAACCCACCTGTGCCCCACCCACCACCTGCCCACCCCCAGTGCAGCCCAGCAGTGCTGCCAGTCAGTGTCACCAGTCAGTGCCCAGGGGTTGTGCCAGTCAGTGCTGCCAGTCAGTGCCCAGCAGTGATGCCAGTCAGTGCCGTCTATCAGTACCCATCATCAGTGCCGCCTATCAGCGCTGCATATTAAGTGCCGCCTATCCGTGCCACCTCATTAGTACTGCCTATCAGTGCCCTTTATTGCTGCCTATCAGTACCCATCATCAGTGTCACCTATCAGTGCTGCATATTAGTGCCGCCTATCCGTGACACCTCATTAGTGCTGTCTATCAGTGCCGCCTATCCGTGCCACCTCATTAGTACTGCCTATCAGTGCCCATCAGTGCTGCTATCAGTGCCCATCAGTGCTGCCTATCAGTGCCCATCAGTGCTGCCTCATCAAACATCATCAGTGAAAGGAAGAAAAAATTACCTGTTTGAAAAATTTTATAATAGAAACAAAGAAAAACTTTTTTTTTTTTATACAAATTTTTTGCACTTTTTTTATTTATAGCGCAAAAAGTAAAAGCGCCAGTGGCACCAAAAGACAGCTCTATTTGTGAGAAAAAAATGATCAAAATTTCATATGGGTACAATGTTGCATGACCGCGCAATTGTCAATCAAAGTGCGGCAGCGCTGAAAGCTGAAAATTGGCCTGGTAAATAAGGGGGTATAAGTGCCTGGTAGGCAAGTGGTTAATGCACACACACATATATACACACATACATAATATATACATATTAATATATTTATATATATAAATATATATATATTTTTACAAATTTATATATATATACACATTAAATATATATATTTAATGTGTGAAAGTGTGTATATATATATATATATATATATATATATATATATATATACACACACACACAAATATATTTTTAATGTGTATGTAGGTATGTATGTATATATATATATTTTTTTTAATGTGTGTATGTATGTATGTATGTAAAGTGTATGTAAAGTGTATATATATATATAAAATATATATATATATATATATATATATACACATATACACACACACATACATATACACACTTTACATACATATACACACACAAACACATTATAAATATCTCCGTTTCATTTATTATTATTTATGTATTTTTATATATATTTCACATCTTTATTGTCAGTGGAGCGCAACATATTTCATGCACCAGTTTATTTAATTTATTGTATTTACTCCACTCAGTTTATTTAATTTCATTTTTTTTTGGTGGAATTATATTAACCAACCGAATTTTTTAATATATTTTTTATTGATAGAATACACCGTAGTAGTAGCTCACAAGAATCACATTTATCATAGTTGTTTTTTTTTACCTTCATGCATAGAACACATGAAAAGTAAAAAAAGACTGAAAGTGGTTGTAAAAGGATGATGAAGAAAAAAAAAAAGCATAAAAAAAAAAAAAAAAAAAGCGTACAGAAACACACCCGGAACTGCATTTCTGTGGTGTGCGAACCGGTCCTCATTCACACAGGGTGCCACGTTTGCCTGCATGGGGATGCACAGCTGTTCGGAGCATCCCTGTGTTGGCAGTCCCATTCACGTCAATTGGGACACAGCGGCTGCACAGACACAGTTACTGTTCCCAATTTGACATCCATTATTATTATACAGTATTTATAAAGCGCCGATAGTTGGCTCAGCGCTGTACATTACAAAGGGGGACAGAAACATGTGACAGAACAATACCAATACAATGCGATACATGAGGGGATTGAGGGCCCTGCTCCTTGGAGCTTACAATCTAGGAATCCATGAGGGTGCACGGCCCTGAACAATGTGCGTTCAGGACGGTGCACGTGAACGGAAGTCAAATTGGGAACAGCGACCGTTTCAGTTGGGATGCAGCAGCTGCACAGACACAGACATGAATGGGGACTGTAACACTGTGCAGGTAAACACGGCCCTCACATGGGTATACGCTGTAACTCGCCTCATGTGAACGAGGTTGAAGACAAAAAAATGATTATTATTATACAGGATTTATGGCGCCAACAGTTTGCTCAGCGCTTTACAATATAACAGGAGACAATACAGCAACAATACAGTTCAATACAAGAGGGATAGGAGGGCCCTGATCCTGGGAGCTTACAATCTAGAGAGGGAGGGGCTAGTGGTACAAAAGGTAATACCTGTGGGGGATGGACTGGTTGGAAGAGTAGAAGATTCCATTATTAGCTGAGGGCGGGATAGGCTTCCCTGAAGAGAGAGGTTTTTCAGAGATCGCCTAAAAGTGAGCAGAGTAGGCGATAGTCTGATAGATTGGGGTAGAGAGTTCCAGAGGACGGGGGAAGCTCTGGAGAAGTCCTGAAGACGAGCATGGGAGGAGGAGACAAGGGAGCTAGAGAGCAGGAGGTCGAGAACGAGGAGCGGAGAGGACGGTTTGGGTGATATTTGGAGACAAGATCGGTGATGTAATTTATATTTATAAATACTAGATGAGTAGTCTGAACACTAGAATCCGAAACAGCTGCCTGTGGAAAACCTAGAAAGCCTTCAGCAACTTACGATGTCAGAACAAGCCACGTGCTGAGCATTATCGAACAGAAGAAATGAGACAATTTGTTCCAGTCTGTAACGCCCTGCAGCGACAGCTTTCTTCGAGGAGGAACCCATAGCAGGCCGTGAATGCCGAGCATTATTAATGTAGAAAAATGGACAAGTTCTTCCCTGTCCTCAGCTCTGCTGCAAAAAAACTTTTCTCTGGAGGAGCAACCATATCCACCATACATAATGATCAAACCAACCAGAACATATCCTCCGGCAAAGCAGAACATTAGAACAGTCACGCGGCAGTCAGCAGATTGGCTGGGAGAAGGAAGTAGCCGCTGTCGTGTGACCGGCAGCCATACTGTATCTGAACTGATAACTGATTAACCGATTCCATGGAGACCGGAATGAACTCAAGGACTGGAATTAGACTTGGCAGGAGGAAATCTACTAACGCAAGTCACAATTACTTTACAACTGGTCTGGAAGGTCCCATGAAAAGCCTAGTCCATCCATCCATCCATACTCTGGGTCAACACATACAAGGCCTTACTGCCCCCATAGTGTTTAGCTAAAGGAAGATATGGGATGGGGGGGGGGGTAGTGTCATTTACCACTGTGTATGCACCCACATATGACACTCTAGATAAGAAAAAAGGAGGAAAGGAAGAGCTCAGAAGGGGAACTGAAATTGGAGCATGCTCAGTAGAGGACACCAGATAGTCTACACATAGTGTTTAGTGAAAGGAAGATATGGGATGGGGAGGGGGGGGGGGGTAGTGTCATTTACTACTGCGTATTCACCCACATATGCAACTCTAGATAAGAAAAAAGGAGGAAAGGAAGAGTTCAGAAGGGAACTGAAATTGGAGCATGCTCAGTAGAGGACACCAGATAGTCTACACATGTTTAGTGAAAGGAAGATATGGGATGGGGAGGGAGGGGGGGGGGGGTAGTGTCATTTACCACTGCGTATTCACCCACATATGCGACTCTAGATAAGAAAAGGAGGAAAAGGAAGAGCTCAGAAAGGAACTGAAATTGGAGCATGCTCAGTAGAGGACACCAGAAACTCTACACATAGTGTTTAGCGAAAGGAAGATATGGGATGGGGGGGGGGGGGGTGGTAGTGTCATTTACCACTGCGTATTCACCCACATATGCAACTCTAGATGGGAAAATAGGAGGAAAGGAAGGGCTCAGAACTCCTGCAGAAGGGAACTGAAATTGGAGCATGCTCAGTAGAGGACACCAGATAGTCTACACATAGTGTTTAGCGAAAGGAAGATAATGGATGGGGGGGTAAGTGTCATTTTACTACTGCGTATTCACCCACATATGCGACTCTAGATAAGAGAAAAGAGGAAAGGAAGGAAGAGCTCAGAAGGGAACTGAAATTGGAGCATGCTCAGTAGAGGACACCAGATAGTCTACACATCTTTTTTAGTGAAAGGAAGATATGGGATGGGGGGGGGGGGGGGTGGCGGTGTCATTTACCACTGTGTATTCACCCACGTGTGACTCTAGATCAGAAAAAGGAGGAAAAGGAAGAGCTCAGAAGGGAACTGAAATTGGAGCATGCTTAGTAGAGGACTCCAGATAGTCTACACACAGTGTTTAGCGAAAGGAAGATATGGGATGCGGGGGGTGCAGTGTCATTTACCACTGCGTATTCACCCACGTGTGACTCTAGATCAAAAAAGGAGGAAAGGAAGAGCTCAGAAAGGAACTGAAATTGGAGCATGCTCAGTAGAGGACACCAGATAGTCTACACCGGGGGTGTCGGCAACCCGCGGCTCCAGAGCCGCATGCGGCTTTTTTCATCTTTGCTGCGGCTCCGGAGCACACTGCCCACCAGGTGGTCGGCAAGCCGCAGATCGCGAGCCACATGCGGCTCTTCTGTGTGCCGGGCGCCCGCTCCCCTCCCTCCTCAGAAAAATCCGGCCCGCGGAGTGTGGAACATTGGCTGTCAGGATGTAGGTGGGGCAGCCAGGATGTAGGCGGGGGCAGAGTGACGAACTCCTCTCTCAGTCCGCCCTGAAGACCAGAACGGCGCGGGAACACAGCGAGAGGAACGCGCGGAGCAAAGGTAGTGAATTGAGACCAATAACCGGGGGATGAATTACTATGTGGGGAAGAATTACTATGGGGGGATGAATTTACTATGTGGGGGTATGAATTACTTGTGTGGGGGAAGAATTACTATGGGGAAGAATTACTATAATGGGGAATGAATTACTATATGGGGGATGAAATTACTAATGGGGGATGATGAATTACTATGGGGGATGAATTACTATATGGGGGATGAATTAATCTATATGGGGGATGAATTTACTATATGGGGGATGAATTACTATATGGGGGATGAATTACTATATGGGGGATGAATTACTATATGGGGGATGAATTACTTATGGGGGAAAGATTTAACTACTATATATGGGATGAATTACTATATGGGGGGATGAATTACTAAATGGGGGATGAATTACTATATGGGGGATGAATTACTATGGGGGATGAATTACTATGGGGGATGAATTTTACTATATGGGGGATGAATTACTATATGGGGGGATGAATTACTATATGGGGGGATGAATTACTATGGGGATAATTACTATATGGGGGATGAATTACTATGGGGGAAAAATAATTACTATATGGGGGATGAATTACTATATGGGGGATGAATTACTAATTAATGAATTACTATGGGGAAGAAATTACTAATTAATTACTATATGGGGGATGAATTACTATATGGGGGGGATGAATTACTATATGGGGGGGGAAGAATACTTATATGGGGGATTAGAATTTGATATGTGGGGGATGAATTACTACTATATGGGGGATGAATTACTATGGGGGATGAATTACTATATGGGGGGATGAATTAGTAATTGGGGATGAATTACTATATGGGGGATAATGAATTACTATATGGGGGATGAATTACTATATGGGGGATGTATTTTCAAAAAAATGTGGCTGTCAAAATAAATTTCAATCGTGGTTTTGGCGAGATTTGGCTCAGTTGAAAAAAAAGGTTGCCCACCACTGACCTAAGGCTATGATTGTGATTATGAAGATACACTGTGGCCCTGATTAACCCTTTGCTTACTGGGCCCTTAAACCCCCTTCATGACCAGAGTGCTTTTTGCAATATATGCAGTGTCGGATTTGTTATAAATGTTGCAATGGTTTTGCGGCTCCCAGTCTTTTTTTTCCCTTCGGAAACGGGTCCAAGTGGCTCTTTATGTCTTAAAGGTTGCAGACCCCTGGTCTACACATAGTGTTTAGCGAAAGGAAAATGAAGGATTGGGGGGGGGGGGGGGGGTAGTGTCATTTACCACTGCATATTCACCCACATGTGCGACTCTAGATCAGAAAAAGGAGGAAAAGGAAACGTTCAGAAGGGAACTGAAATTGGGGCATGCTCGTAGAGGACACCAGATAGTCTACACATCTTGTTTAGTGAAAGGAAGATATGGGATGGGGAGGGAGGGGGTAGTGTCATTTACCACTGCATATTCACTCACATATGCAACTTTAGATAAGAAAAAGGAGAAAGGAAGAGCTCAGAAGGGAACTGAAATTGGAGCATGCTCAGTAGAGGACACCAGATAGTCTACACAACCTCAGCCTGCAATGGGGGCATAGAAAAGATGGGAGGGACAGCTGAAGGCAAGATCAAGCGCATATATTTCACTCAACACAAAAAGAATGCTTTAGCGGCTTTGCGAGTATGCACACGCTGTTATATAGCATGTAATGAGAGTTTTTCATAGTCTGTGTTAAATGGCCCTTTAAAGTGATACTAAACCTAAAAAAAAAAAATGGTTTACCTTAATGCATTGCTTGCATTAACCTCTTGCCGACCGCGCATTGCCGAAAGACGGCTTCACTGCGGCCGGCCAGTTCTGAGTGGACCGTCATATGACGTCCTCCCAGAACGCGCTCTCCTGCGCGCCCCAGGGGGGCGCACAAGAGGCGATCTCCGCGCGTGATGTGGTGACACCCGGCGATCATCCCGGCGTGATGTGGTGAAAGGCCGATTCCCACCGGCCTTTTACCACGTGATCAGCGGTGTTCAATGACACGCTGATCACAGGAAATGCAAGTGCCGGTTCTCGGCTGCACTTTCCTCACGCTGTCAGATCGTGAGGAAAGTACTGCCGAGAACCGGCAGTTTGTCAGAGCGGGGATCGGCACCGATCATCAGGGCACTGATGATCAGTGCCCTGATGATCGGATGCCCAGCATGTGACCCCCGCAAGTTCCGATCAGCAGTGCGCCCCACTAGCCCCGCCCACCCATTCCCAGCAGTGCACCCACCTGGGCCCAGCAGTGCACCCACCTGGGCCCAGCAGTGCACCCACCTGTGCCACTCTGCAGTGCCACCATACCTGTGCCCAGAAGTGCCACCTACATGTGCCCAGTAGTGCCACCCACCTGTGCCCACCCACCTGTGCCCACCAGTGCCACCCACCTGTGCCCACCAGTGCTGTCCACCAGTGCCACCCACCAGTGCTGTCCACCAGTGCCACCCACCAGTGCTGCCAGTCAGTGCCACCAGTCAGTGCCCAGGGGTTGTGCCAGTCAGTGCCGCCAGTCAGTGCCCAGAAGTGATGCCAGTCAGTGCCGTCTATCAGTACCCATCATCAGTGTCACCTATCAGTGCCGCCTATCAGTGCTGCATTATCAGTGCTGCACAATCAGTGCCGCCTATCCGTGACCCCTAATTAGTGCTGTCTATCAGTGCCCGCCTATCCGTGCCACCTCATTAGTACTGCCTATCAGTGCCCTTTAGTGCTGCCTATCAGTGCCCATCAGTGCCGCCTATCAGTGCCCATCAGTGCCGCCTCATCAACGCAAATCAGTGAAGGAGAAAAAATACCTGTTTGAAAAATTTTATAAAAGAAACAAATAAACTTTTTTTTTTTTTTTTCAAATTTTTTGCACTTTTTTTAATTTATAGCGCAAAAAGTAAAGCGCCCAGTGGCGATTAAATACCACCAAAAGAAAGCTCTATTTGTGAGAAAAAAATGATCAAAATTTCATATGGGTACAATGTTGCATGACCGCGCAATTGTCAAAGTGCGGCAGCGCTGAAAGCTGAAAATTGGCCTGGTAAAGAAGGGGGTATAAGTGCCTGGTAGGCAAGTGGTTAAGTTGAAAAAAAAGTTTAAGTTCCCTTTGCTCCCCCTTCCCTGTGTGAAGGGGAAGGAAGGGAGAAGAGAACAGCGCTGTGCACGGCTGCATCTCTTCTCCCCTCACTTCCCCTTCACACAGGGGACTCCAACAGCAGCAGGAGCCATTGGCTCATGCTGCTGTCAATCAAGTGTGGTGAAGGGGGGGGGGGCTATGTCCTGCTGTGTCTATGGAGTGCGGCTTTCTAGACACACAGGTCGGGAGCGAGCACGCAGCATTTGTCCCCCTAGCAAATGGCTTGCTGTGGAGACACGCATAGAACATTAGGAGCTAGGATTACCAGTTGGGGACCCAAGAAGAGGAGGATCGGGGCCACGCTATGCAATACCACTGAACAGAACAGGTGAGCAGAACATATTTGTTATATAAATTTTTTTAAAAAAAGCCTTTAGTAACACTTTAAAGTGATACTAAAGTCTTGTTTTTAAAAAAAAAACAAAAATGTAACAAACATGTTTAAACTTACCTGCTCTGTGCAGTGGTATTGCACAGAGCAGCCCGGATCCTCCACTTCTCAGGTCCCCCACCAGTGCTCCTGGCCCCTCCCTACCACCACCGGTGTCCTCATAGCAAGCAGTCCAGTGGCGGCGTGCTTTACACCACGGCATCCGACGCTTTGCATTGCACTTGGTGATGTAAGGCTTGGATGCAGCTGCTCGGCCATGGAAACCCATTCCATGAAGCTCTCTATGCACTGTTGTTGGGCTCATCTGAAGGCCACACCAAGTTTGGAGGTCTTTAGCTATTGACTCTGCAGACAGTTGGCGATTCTGCGCACTGTGCGCTTCAGCATGCGCTGACCCCCGCCCTGTCATGTGACGTGGCCTACCACTTGGTGGCTGATTTGCTGTTGTTCCCAGTTGCTTCCACTTTGTTATAATCCCACTAACAGTTGAGCGTGGAATATTTAGTAGCCAGGAAATGTCACAGATGGACTTATTGCCCAGGTGGCCACCTATCATGGGACCACGCTTGGAGTCACTGAGCTCCTGAGAGCGACCCATTCTTTCACCAATGTTTGTAGAAGCCGTCTGCATGTCTAGGGGATGATTGTATACACCTGTGTCCATGGAGGGGATTGGAACACCTGAATCACATGATATGGAGGGGATTGGAGCACCCGAATCCCATGATATGGAGGGGATTGGAGCACCCGAATCCCATGATATGGAGGGGATTGGAGCACCCGAATCCCATGATATGGAGGGGATTGGAGCACCCGAATCCCATGATTGGGAGGGGATTGGAGCACCCGAATCCCATGATTGGGAGGGGATTGGAGCACCCGAATCCCATGATTGGGAGGGGATTGGAGCACCCGAATCCCATGATTGGGAGGGGATTGGAGCACCCGAATCCCATGATTGGGAGGGGATTGGAGCACCCGAATCCCATGATTGGGAGGGGATTGGAGCACCCGAATCCCATGATTGGGAGGGGATTGGAGCACCCCCGAATCCCATGATTGGGAGGGGATTGGAGCACCCGAATCCCATGATTGGGAGGGGATTGGAGCACCCGAATCCCATGATTGGGAGGGGATTGGAGCACCCGAATCCCATGATTGGGAGGGGATTGGAGCACCCGAATCCCATGATTGGGAGGGGATTGGAGCACCCGAATCCCATGATTGGGAGGGGATTGGAGCACCCGAATCCCATGATTGGGAGGGGATTGGAGCACCCGAATCCCATGATTGGGAGGGGATTGGAGCACCCGAATCCCATGATTGGGAGGGGATTGGAGCACCCGAATCCCATGATTGGGAGGGGATTGGAGCACCCGAATCCCATGATTGGGAGGGGATTGGAGCACCCGAATCCCATGATTGGGAGGGGATTGGAGCACCCGAATCCCATGATTGGGAGGGGATTGGAGCACCCGAATCCCATGATTGGGAGGGGATTGGAGCACCCGAATCCCATGATTGGGAGGGGATTGGAGCACCCGAATCCCATGATTGGGAGGGGATTGGAGCACCCGAATCCCATGATTGGGAGGGGATTGGAGCACCCGAATCCCATGATTGGGAGGGGATTGGAGCACCCGAATCACATGATTGGGAGGGGATTGGAGCACCTGAATCACGATATGGAGGGGATTGGAGCACCTGAATCACATGATATGGAGGGGATTGGAGCACCTGAATCACATGATATGGAGGGGATTGGAGCACCTGAATCACATGATATGGAGGGGATTGGAACACCTGAATCACATGATTGGGAGGGGATTGGAGCACCTGAATCACATGATTGGGAGGGGATTGGAACACCTGAATCACATGACTGGGAGGGGACTGGAACACCTGAATCACATGATATGGAGGGGATTGGAACACCTGTATCACATGATATGGAGGGGATTGGAACACCTGAATCACATGATATGGAGGGGGATTGGAACACCTGAATCACATGATATGGAGGGGATTGGAACACCTGAATCCAATGATTTGGAGGGGATTGGAACACCTGAATCACATGATATGGAGGGGATTGGAACACCTGAATCCAATAATTGGGAGGGCGGGGCCAATACTTTGGCAATATAGTGTATCTATAGATGGATATATTTCTTTTTTTGCCTTACAAAGCAGTTATTGAAAATCATAGCAGAATTCCTCAGCAATCCCTCCTTTTTGGATTGCAGGGACTGCGATGTCCTGGCCTTGCGTTTCCATAATCAAATGTCGATCAGACCCGCCTCCAGTAAGCGGTCAGGTAACCAATCTCCGATTGATCGTCTCGCCCTCTGAGCCGAGAAGTTATCCGCCCGTCTTCTGTCAGCCTCACATTTCACCAGCACAGACGGTCTCCAGTCACATGAACCCACGGCGATCAGCGAACATGCGAAATCCGACGGAACGCCGAGACGCCGCCGGTGCCCGCACTGTACGTCCTGCACACAGAATCATGTAGGTCACTTGGCTTTAGAGTCCACATTTACAGCTGAACCCGGCTGAGACGGCGACTCTACAGGCGATTAATCCTAATCAGCTCAGGGAAGACCTCACCTGTCCTGCTCCCCCCAAGCAGGAGTCGTCCCTGACTGATAGATCGATGGTAATTACTCCGGACGTTTCTTGCTCATTGACCATCTACTGCGGGATACATTCCTAAGCCGTGAAGACGCCGTCAGCCGCACCTCCAGTAGAGACACATTCGTTCATTGACATTTAAATGATCAATAAAGCGAATGACAGCCTGTTAACTGTATCGCTACCAGAGCCATTTTTACGGATGGGTCTCCAAACTGTGGCCCGGGGGCCGAATGCTTGCTTTTACCTGGCCCTTGGAGCACTAACATTCACTGACACCAACGAAGGGGCACAAATCCTCCCAATGACGGGCGCAGTTCCTGCCAATGAAACAATGGGGACCAATAACACCAGAGATGGGGCGTATTCTGTCCAACGACACCAGTGATGGGACACAATTCCTCCCAATGACACAAACAATGGGGACCAAAAACCCCAGAGATGGACCACTGTTCCTCCCAATGACACCAATGATGGGGCACTATTCCTCTCACTGATACCAAGGATGGGGTACTATTCCTGCCACTGACACCAATGATGGGGCACTATTCCCCCCACTGACACCAATGATGGGGCACTATTCCTCCCACTGACACCAATGATGGGGCACTATTCCCCCCACTGACACCAATGATGGGGCACTATTCCTCCCACTGATACCAATGATGGGGCACTATTCCTCCCACTGACACCAATGATGGGGCACTATTCCTCTCACTGATACCAAGGATGGGGTACTATTCCTGCCACTGACACCAACGATGGGGCACTATTCCTGCCACTGACACCAACGATGGGGCACTATTCCTCCCACTGACACCAATGATGGGGCACTATTCCTCCCACTGACACCAATGATGGGGCACTATTCCTCCCACTGACACCAATGATGGGGCACTATTCCTCCCACTGACACCAATGATGGGGCACTATTCCTCCCACTGACACCAATGATGGGGCACTATTCCTCCCACTGACACCAATGATGGGGCACTATTCCTCCCACTGACACCAATGATGGGGCACTATTCCTCCCACTGACACCAATGATGGGGCACTATTCCTCCCACTGACACCAGTGATGGAGCACAATTCCTCCCACTGACACAAACAATGGGGACCAATAACACCAGAGAGGAGCATATTCTGTCCAATGACACCAGTGATGGGGCACAATTCTTCCCAATGAAACCAATGTTGGGGATCAATAACACCAGAGATGGGACATATTCTGTCCAATGACACCAGTGATGGAGCACAATTCCTCCCAATGACACCAATGTTGGGGCACAATTCCTCCCAATGACACCAATGTTGGGGCACAATTCCTCCCACTGACACCAATGATGGGACACAATTCCTCCAATGACACAAGCAATGGGGACCAACACCAGAGATGGGACATAGTCTGTCCAATGACACCAGTGATGGAGCACAATTCCTCCCAATGACAGCAATGTTGGGGACCAATAACACCAGAGATGGGACATATTCTGTCCAATGACACCAGTGATGGAGCACAATTCCTCCAATGACACAAGCAATGGGGACCAACACCAGAGATGGGACATATTCTGTCCAATGACACCAGTGATGGGGCACAATTCTTCCCAATGACACCAATGTTGGGGACCAATAACACCAGAGATGGGACATATTCTGTCCAATGACACCAGTGATGGAGCACAATTCTTCCCAATGACACCAATGTTGGGGACCACTAACACCAGAGGTGGGGCATTCTCTGTCCAATGACACCAGTGATGGGGCACAATTCTTCCCAATGACACCAATGTTGGGGACCAATAACACCAGAGATGGGACATATTCTGTCCAATGACACCAGTGATGGGGCACAATTCTTCCCAATGACACCAATGTTGGGGACCACTAACACCAGAGATGGGGCATTCTCTGTCCAATGACACCAGTGATGGGGCACAATTCCTCCCGATGACACCAACGAAGCAGCATTGTTTACTCCAACTGATGCTGGGACATTTTCTACTACAGATAGCCACAGTCTGGCCCCTCCTGAAGTCTGAAGGACAATAAACTGGCCCTTTTTTTTTTTTTTTAAAGTTTGGAGACCCCTGCCCCCAGAGAATAAAATTGGTGGTAGATCCAATTTTTAAGTTGCATGATATGATTAGTGCAAAGGTCTAGGAAACGCAAAATTTCAGATTCAAAACTGCAGATCGCGCTGCATTACATTCTTCCCCGTATGGCCCAGAAAGTAAAAAGGGGGACCCGGAAGTGACATCATATATGTCACTTCGGGGTGCCCGGTGGCACCTGCTATGCCAGTCTTGGGGCCGAATACTGGCATGGGAAACAAAGGGGGAGGGGTGTGGGGGGGGGGTATATCAGTTACTGAGGGGGTTCAAAAAGCGATCTTCTCCTGCCTTTCTCCGCCGCCCCCCACCCATATGCAGTGCACACAGCCCCCCCCCCCACAACCCCCCAGCCAAATAGAAAATAGTCAGTCTGCCCCTCACTGGGGCCGGGCCTCTCATTATCGGCACCTGTATCGGCTCACTTTTTCCAAATGCCAACAGCAAGGCCATTTTCAGCTGATATGTTTCAGCTGCCGAAATTTTGGTGCATCCCCAATGGAAATGCAATTATTATAGTAAATATATAAACTACTAAATCCCTTTTCTCATCAGCAGTACAGAGCAGTCTTGTGACTTCCATCAGTGTCCAGCAGAGCACTGGTTAATTTTACAGAAGTACTTTTAATTCTCCCCTGACTGTCCTATGAGGCTGCACGACCCCTGACCCTCTGTCTGGACAGTGCTGATTGGCCCTGTACTGATCACATGCACCCTCCCAAAGGGGAAAAAAAAAACTAGCAATACACACCAACCTGAGCATGCACAAAGTGCCTCCTACAGCTCTGTACTATCAACAGATGGATAGAGGACAGTAACAGAAAGGGAGGATCAGAGAAGACAGGATCAAACAGCCTTTTTACACAATGCAGAGGATTAACCCCTTAGGTCCCACAGTGAGTATAACAAGCACGCTTTACTGCATCTACAGACTGATTGTACTGTTGGGGGTTTAGTAACACTTTAAGGCGAGGTTCACACCCATGCAGGTTGCGTTTGAGCCGTTTCTGCATTGCGTTGACGCTTTTTTTAAAAAAAAAAAAAAATTCTTGTTGCTAGGCAGATTTAAAATGCAAAACGCATCAAAAACACACTACATGCTTTGCTGCAGCATTTCCATTGAAGTCTATAGAACCAAAAACGCAACTTATTGCGTTCAAAAAAATGTCCGTCCCCGGTTCAGTATGGCGCGTTATGACTGACGAGGAGTGGAGCCCCAACAATTACAAAGACAGGAAAGAAGGGGGGAAAAAAAAAATATATATTTTTCTTGTTGCTAGGCAGATTTTAAAATGCAAAGACGCATCAAAAACGCACTACATGCTTTGCTGCAGCATTTCCATTGAAGTCTATAGAACCAAAAACACAACTTATTGCGTTCAAAAAAAATGTCCGTCCCCGGTTCAGTATGGCGCGGTTATGACTGACGAGTAGAGGAGCCCCAGGAAAGGAAAAGAAGGGGGGGGGGGGGAATTCTCACGCTTTGATATTTAATGACGTTTCAAGTGCCGGTTCATTGAGGTCAATGTTCAGATTTACTCTGAAGTTCTTAAACTGTTCAAGGAACAAATATTGTACAAATTCTTCTGTAATGCAACCAAAATAAATACGCCCAGTTCCTCATAGCGTAACCCGCGGCTCATTCTTCCTGCCTGTCATTGTGTGGTGTTTCCTATTTCCTGGCTTAAAAAAAAAAAAAAAAAAAAACAAGAAAAACGAAATACAAGAAAAACAAAAACCAAGAAAAACATAAAAACAAGAAAAACAAAAAGACAAACAAAAAGACAAACAAAAAGACAAACAAAAAGACAAACAAACAAAAATACAAGCAAACGAAAAGCAAAAAGACAAAACGAAAAAAACAAAAAGACAAAACGAAAAGCAAAAAGACAAAATGAAAAGACAAAACGACAAACAAACAAAACGACAAACAACCAAAAAAGACGACAAACAACCAAAAACGACAAACAACCCAAAAACGACAAACAACCAAAAACGACAAACAACCAAAAAAACGACAAACAACCAAAAACGACAAACAACCAAAAACGACAAACAACCAAAAACGACAAACAACCAAAAAACGACACACAACCAAAAACGACACAAAAACCAAAAACGACACACAACCAAAAACGACACAACAACCAAAAAAAGGCAAAAAACAAACAAGGGAGGGACCACTGATCCAGAGCGACACTAAAAAGACCTTACCCACAAGCCGAAGTAGAGCCCTCCCCCCCCCCTCCTGACCAGGCCATTATTTGCGTTAAAACGGCGCTGCGTTACTTTGACAATTGCGCGCGGTCGTACAACACCGCACCCAAATTCCATTTACGTCCTTTTTTCCCACAAATTGAGCTCTTTCAGTGGTGTTTGATTGCCTGTGCATCTGTTATTTTTTGCAGTATAAAAAAGAT